CCTTTTCAATTATTTTTATCAATTTTTAGTGGGGTCTTGAAGGGAGAAGTTATAAATATACATACTCAGTCTCCTTGCTGTTTTATCTGAAAGCCAAAGTAAAGAGTTTTAAGTACTGGAATTTGTGTTACCATATTCTCTAACTTTTTTTTTGGAGAGATTTCTGCTATAGGGCGTGTGCGTTCACCAGAGAGACAGAGTCAGAAAGACAGAAAGTGAGAAATCACTCCCCGGGGGGAAGGAGGGGAGACGGCCACACCATAATCCCTTCTCCTCTGTTCTCTTCTTGGGATCTAGGGCACACACACATGCGCGCACTCAGCATGAGTTTAAGCCACTGGGTCCGGGATTCGAACCTCAGTCGACTACATGGGAGTCCAGCGACATAGCCATTACGCAACTGCTGGTCCCAGATATTCTCTAACTTTTAAAAACATAATTAGAGTTTATCTTTTAGGAATGCTATAAACTGCTCTTTCTGGAGGTAGACTGTTAGAGGGTCATAAAGTCTCTTTCTTGATGTTCTGATTTTTTTATATATTACATAATATTTTCCATTTAAAATAATCATTTATAGTTTTAAGTATTTAATAATGCCAAAGAAAAGTGGCTAATTCTTGTTTTACAATGTTTGTGACCTTTAGCTTATGGTTGTATAACTAAATGCCTAGAAAGAAGTGTCCATGAAAAAATTATAGACACATAAAAGAAATAAATTCTCTAAAACTTTGCTATATCCCATTAATGATTTCACTGTTCACTGCACTTGGGACAGCGCTGCAGTAGAGTGACATATCACAGGCTCTTTTCCCGGGCAGGAACGGGAAAATACTCAGTGTAATGTTTTCTTTGCTTACATTGGATGCATGTAGCGAAGCTGGTTTATTTTCGGTCATTTCCTGTCAATGAACACTGTGGTTTTTTAGCCAACACTACTATAATAAAACATAATGCCTAAAATGAGTTTCCACACCTACGAATCCTGTAATAGAAATTCATAAAGTAAGTTATTATAGGAATCAGCACCACTTATTCATTGGGAAAAGAATCTTCCGAAATATTTTAAGTCTTTCTACTCTAGCCTGTCATAAAAGCCTAAAGGCAAAAAAAGGAAAAAAAAGAAAAAGCTATAATCCTCTGAAATATTACCCTTTTTTCCATCTAGACATTTAGAAGTGTGTTCTGTGTTTAGCCTGACTTTTAGGGCTCATTTATTGCATTCAGCTCACTACCCTATCTTTCTCTAGGGTCTTCCCCTCATTGAGAAGGCATTATGTGATTTTTCTCACCCATTCTTATGAAGAGATCAGTAAATGAATACTCTGACTTGAAATGAACCACTAAAGAACTTGAAGAGAATTCCCGCTGATGTCATACTGCCCGCTATTATCCCTGACTTTTAGGGCTCATTTATTGCATTCAGCTCACTACCCTATCTTTCTCTAGGGTCTTCCCCTCATTGAGAAGGCATTATGTGATTTTTCTCACCCATTCTTATGAAGAGATCAGTAAATGAATACTCTGACTTGAACCACTAAAGAACTTGAAGAGGATTCCCGCTGATGTCATACTGCCTGCTATTATCTTGGGTTTTTATACACCATGACTTTTCTGCCAACCCAATAATACTTGGATCAATTGAAAACAATTGAAAATGTATTAGGCATCATAGGAAAACAAATTGAAAATATAGATCCTCCCGAGGAGAATATGCTTTCCTTAGAGTGTAAGTTTGGGCTGGAGAGCAGTAGGAAAGTGGCCCAGGTGACCGGTCACCCACTCTAGAAGTGCGTGTTGCACTGCATGTCCCCTCTCCCATTCTTCATGGTCAACCGAGCGCCTAAATATTGGACACATCTTTTTTCTTTTATTATAACCACTAAAATGTATTGAAGCAAGTATAAAGTATGGATTAGAATATTATTTCTAAGTGTAACAACAACTTTGAAAAAATATGCATTATAACCATTTTACTTAAGAGGAAAATGAAACGCAAGGAAATGAAACAGTACCTGTTGTGGCAGGTCTAGAGTTTGAACTAAGATCTAGCTGACTTTCTTGCCAATGCCATTTTTGTTACCCTGTATCTTCTTTCTTTTCCCTGTTATGCCCTCATATAATCTAGCAGACACTGTTGGCCTGGCCTTCTCACTACCTCCCTGCATCCAGCCTTCCCCTGCTGCATCCCCACAGGGTTGACGAACTTCTGTCTTAAGCAGGTCCTTGAGGGCAGAGAGCATGGCTTCGTCCTTGTATCCCAGCACCAGTGCCTGCATCCAAGCTTGATACTTTGCACATGCTTAAAAACCTGCATTAAGGGGCCAGCAGATGGCATGGTGGGTAAACACTGAACTCTCACATGGCTCACATGGCAAATTACAGTTCAAGTCTCGGATCTGGCGGCTTCAAACTCATGCCGGGTACTTTTGCATTTGTGCACATAATCCCAGGAGCGTGGAGGAGAAGGGATTGTGACGTGGCCATTCCCCTGGGAGGTGATTTCTTACTTTCCCTCTCACTGTCTCTGTCTCTCTAGTAGGTACACACTCCCTATGTATAAAAATAAATAAATAAATAAATAAGGCAAAAAACCCTTGCACTAAATATGGTTTTATTACCTTTTATTTTAACCCTTTTTCTGCTCCTCGACCCTCCAAGGTGAAATCTGGCTCTCAGCTCGTGTCCAGCTCCTGCTCCCCTGTGTTGCAGGGCCATGTCCCAGCTGTCAGACCTGTCTTACACGGGTCTGACGGACAGAGTCAGGCTCCTGCGTCTCTTCATTCTGTGTACTCCCTTCGACTCCCGAGGTAACCCGCTCTTTACCACCCAAGGGTCAGTTCAAATGCTGCCTCCTTTGAAACTTGATTCCTCTCCTCTAGCAAAATCTGTGCCTCTGTTCTCTGTGTTCCCATAGCACATCCCTGGAGTATTCACTATATGACTGCAGACACGGCATATTACACTGAGTGTTCATATTATCTTCTTTTCCACCCCTCATCAAGGTTGGGAGTTTGGGGGGCGAATTGATCTTAATGTATTTTTACATCCTCAGCGCCTACCCCAGGACCTGACACCTAATAAGCTCAACATAAACGCCTCTTTGTTTAATCATATGTCGAGATCATTTGAGTTTAGAAGTTACATCCCTTAAGTTAATTAGATTGATTACAGAGTAGGAATAGAGCAGTTATATTGGGTTATCAGAAAAATCATGATTTTTTTTTCTATGTTTTCTCTTCAAAAGTGCATTGTGACTTCTCTGACAGCCCAATATTTCTGGAAATAAAGCCTAATGTGTACCTAAAACGTGCATGTGAGTTCTGTGCTTATTATATCTTAATCATTACAGATAACTCGGTGACCTGTACCAGAATCCTTAGCGCAGGATTGGGGGCGTGCTACACACCCGGTGTGTTTTTCAAGTGACTCTGTCTAGGACTCAAGCCACGTAGTTGTTCATGTAGGGTCCAGCCTCCGTAACCACCGTGCCACTGGCCGGCCTGAAGACCTTTAACCATTCATTCACTCCATAAACATGCGGCTTCAGAATTCTAGAGATGAAAAAATGCATTCTGTAACCTCAAGGAGCTCACTCTGGGACAGGAAGCAGAACTGTAAACATTTACTACAGCATGAGGAGTGGATATACTGGGGGAGTGTTCGAGGTCACCGGAAAGCAAAGCACAGTGTTAGTGAGGGCAAGTAAACATTGTTTGAAAGCAAAAGTCCCAGAATAAAAACAGAACAAAAGCCAAGCATTATTTAAGTTTTGAGGTTGAGTAAAACAAATAGTTATGTCTGTCTTCACAAACCAGAAAATTCAAGTTGGATTCAGATATTCTTTTATCCTCTAGCTATCATTTAGGTAGACTTCCAAAGAAAATGTGGCTCCTATTTTGGGAATAACAGCAATTGCCGTGTTCAGTGGAGGGCATAAAGTGATTTGTGTATATGTAACTAACAGGGCATTTATGATTTATTTCCAATTGAGGAAATCTCCAGTGATTTCCTGATCCTCACTACAGTGTACTTTGAAAGATTTCAAAAAACATTTAAATTGAAAGTCAAAGTTACCACCTTAGTTCAACCTCTGAGAAGCTATTTTTTTTTTGAGAGGGTTTTTCGCACAGTGTTAGTGAGGGCAAGTAAACATTGTTTGAAAGCAAAAGTCCCAGAATAAAAACAGAACAAAAGGCAAGCATTATTTAAGTTTTGAGGTTGAGTAAAACAAATAGTTATGTCTGTCTTCACAAACCAGAAAATTCAAGTTGGATTCAGATATTCTTTTATCCTCTAGCTATCATTTAGGTAGACTTCCAAAGAAAATGTGGCTCCTATTTTGGGAATAACAGCAATTGCCGTGTTCAGTGGAGGGCATAAAGTGATTTGTGTATATGTAACTAACAGGGCATTTATGATTTATTTCCAATTGAGGAAATCTCCAGTGATTTCCTGATCCTCACTACAGTGTACTTTGAAAGATTTCAAAAAACATTTAAATTGAAAGTCAAAGTTACCACCTTAGTTCAACCTCTGAGAAGCTATTTTTTTTTTTTTAGAGGTTTTTGCAAGACAGAGAGAGAGAGACAAAGAGACAGAAAGCGAGAAATCACCCCCGGGGGGTGAGTGCCCACGCCGCAATCCCTTCTCCTCCGTTCTCCTCTCAGGATCTTGGGCACGCACGCACACACGCCCGGCGTGAGTTTAAGCCACCGGGTCCAGGACACGAACTGCGGTCGACTACATGGGAGTCCAGCAACATAGCCATTACGCTAACTGCTGGTCCCCACAAATGTACCTCTTTTTAAATTAAAACTCATGATCAGCATAAAGGGCTTCCAGGTAGTCTATGGGAATTAGCCTCCGGAGCACTGGGGTTGATTCTTGGAATGGCAGAGGTGGATGTGAAAGCACACAGGGCTTCCCCACAGGTCTTTACACTCTGTTACTCTCTTCACGTGATCAGACTTTCACTTAAAATCCTACTCTGCGTGTTCCAGGTCTCTAGACTCTGCACTCAGCAGTGCTTTACAAGGGCTGTCTGTCCTCGACTCCCACCTGGTGGAAGTAGATGGGGACACGCTGTCCCTGTACGGCTCAGGAGCGCTGGAGTCCCTGGACCGGAACTGGAGTGCCCAGACAGCAGGCATGGTCACAACGGTCTCCTTCACCTTCATAGAGTTCGATGAGATTGTCCAAGTGCTTCCCAAGTTGAAGATGAAGTTTCCTAATTCTCTGGTAAACACCTCTTTTTATTATCATGCTTGAATTATTCTTAGTCATGACTTGTATGTTTGGCCCAAGAGCTGTTGTAATTTTTATTTATGCAGTTTCTGTCTGGCAGGAAAACTAAGCTTTTGCGTTGATTTTCTGGAGATGGATTTTTACATTAGTATTTTTTTTGGAGAGATTTTCACTGTAGGGCGCGTGCGCTCGCCAGACAGACAGAGAGAGACATAGAGACAGAAAGCGAGAAATCACCTCCCAGGGCGGATGGTCACGCCGTAATCCCTTCTCCTCCATTCTCCTCTTGGGATCTTGGGCACGCCCGGTGTGAGTTTTTTAAGTCACGGGGTCCGGGACGCAAACTGCTGTCGACCACGTGGGAGTACAGTGACATAGCCATTACGCTAACTGCTGGTTCCCTTATTAGTATTTTTAAAAGACCTTATAGTTTTGTGTTAATAGACTAATACAATTTCATTCAAAATATATTTGTCTACTTTATACAGCATTCAAACAGACCACATAGCCCTGTATGATTTGTTCACTTATTGAACCTGGTATTGATGGGACCCATACATTTATTGTATAATTTTTATAAGAGTGCTCTAATGCCATAGAAGATAATTGAGTAGCTCATTAAAATTACCCTGAGGAGTTAGCCTTTCCCACTGTGGTTGTTAACGTGTATTATCAGTGTACACTTGCAAAAACTGTGCTTTCTATAGGGAGTACTCTCTTGAGTTTTTTATTGTGTCCGTCAGTCAAGTGGTTTCTCTCACTCATCCTTCTGTGGTCATTCCCAGCCCCGGACCCTAGTCACTGGCTAGTTCTCGAGGGGGTCGTGAGCCCTACGTTGTAAAGTTCTGGGATTTACGTTCCCAGTCCTTACTTTGTGAATTCAGTGTCAGTGTAATACATCTCATGTCACTGTAATGCCTGAAAGAAGCCAAATTATTTCATATTTATACAACTTTTAAGAATCTTAGTTTGTTAATAAATGAGGGATGTCCTTTGCAGAAGGACTCACTGAGAATTCAATGTCGCATAGATTCCATCAATGGTGCATTGGGTGGATTAAAGTTATATACGTTTCGTACATTCAGTTGATTTAATGTAATTGAAAACATATTTGCTAAGCCTAAATTATGTGAGGACTGATCAGTGAAACTTTACTAAATGTTAATATTTCAAGATGGTTAAACTCAGTATTCATTTCTTTGTTGTGTGTTTTATTATTACAGCACCTTAAATTCAAGGAAACGAACCTTGTAATGCTGCAGCAGTTTAATGCACTAGCACAGCTTCGTCGTATTGACCAGTTGACAATAGACCCTCAAGGAAATCCAGTTGTCAATTTTACACTCTGGAAGTACTATGTACTGTTTAGGCTGAGCCATTTTAATATGCAGAAAATAAATGGGACAGAGGTAAGCTCAAAAATAAGTGAACTATAGAATAGGAATAATTTCTTTTTAGGGGAGATCGCGATTTAAAATGGTTAGGAATTTAAGCAACCATAGTAGAGCTTTTGGGAACTATGGTGTTCTTTAAAAACTCTTGACATTTAAAATATCAAAAAAACTAAAAATCTATCTTAAAACTTCTAAAACATTGAATAAATTTTGAAAATAAAACAATAGCCCGGTCATGATGAATAGTAAATACTTTTGCTATTATTTGTAAGCATTCAAGAAAATAAAGTGTTGATGGGGTGACAGTTAAAAAAAGAACTCTTCTGTAGATAATGCCATCTTTTTATTTTTTAAAGGATTTTGCATACTGCCTGACGTGCAAGAGGGGTTGGGGAAGTAAAACTCAAATGTTAATTAATAAGGGTCATGATAGAGACCCTTTCAATCGGGGAAAAAGAAGAGTGTACAGTGGAAAATAAGAGTGATTTAAAAAAAAAAAGGAACAAACAAAAAGCAGATGAGATGAGAAGGTGAAATAAGCAAGAAAGAATAATAAAAGAGGACCAGCAAGTGGAGTGGTGGTGAAGGCACTGGACTCCCACATGGCCAACTATGGTTTGAGTCCTAGACCCAGCAGCTTGAAAATCACTTCGGGAGTGTGTGGTGTGTGTGTGTGTGTCCACCCAAAATCTCAAGAAGACAATGGAGAAGGATTGAGGTGTGGCTGTGCCCGTGGGAGTGGTGATTTCACACTTTCTCTCTCGCTGTCTTTCTCACCGTCTCTCTCTGGCAAGCACAGGCACCCTTTTGCAAAAACCCAAATAATGAAAAGAGCAAAAGGAAATAAAGCGAGCATAAGCGTCGTCTGGGCCACTTGTTCATAGCTGGTAACAGCTGCCTGGGCCATGGCTACAGGCACGGATAGCTCAGGCCTGGAGCTGTGTAACTGGAAAAGTATTAGTGAGAAGTTACTTTTAGGTTTTTTCTATTGATCTTGTCACAAGGGAAACCCCTCAGCTCCTCAAAGAACAGGCTGCCTTTACCGTATAACTTGGAAGAAAAGAGAGAAACCATGCTTCTTCCTCCAGTGAATTTAAATTGTCCTCCTGGGGGGGTCTTTAATACGGTATTGGTCTTAGCACACTCTGGAAAGTCAGAGACAGCCTCATCCAGCCTTCTGGCACAGTTGTCCTGGCTCCCCACAGCTGCACGCCACAAGCACTCTACCCAGGGCTCCGAAACCCAGCGTGCTGCGGAGCCTGAGGTCTCTGGCTCCATGTAGTGCGGATATATGCAATTTACCTCAGTTAGTGCAGACCATGACCGCAGTACCAGCCATCTGTTGAAGATGCTGGAAAATCTGGAACCTCCAGATGACTAGTAAACTGCTTCTCCAGCCAGCGCTCAGGGGGTTGGGTCCAGGCTGTGTGCTCAGGAGGTTGGGTCCAGGCTATGTGCTCAGGAGGTTGGGTCCAGGCTGTGTGCTCAGGGGGTTGGGTCCAGGCTGTGTGCTCAGGGGGTTGGGTCCAGGCTATGTGCTCAGGAGGTTGGGTCCAGGCTGTGTGCTCAGGAGCTTGGGTCCAGGCTGTGTGCTCTTTGCACCTGCACTTCCCAGTGAGGACACGAGGCGTGTGCTCGCAGCACTGCCCTCAGGAGAGGCTCCGAGCGCCTGGTCGGACTTCGTCAGTACTGCCAAGGTTCCCAGAGTCAGTCCGGACTGGAAATAGAATGTTTATTTTGGCTATGGGTGACTGATTCCCCTCATTAAAGGCCAAACTATTACCTCAGTTAACTCTAAATGGTCTGTCTACCCAGATATAAATCATTACTAGAGGATTACTTATTATTAAGGAACTTTGGAATAGGGAGGAATAATAATAATTATATAAAGCAGAGAGGAATTATATAGAACCAATACAGTTTATTCTGATTTAAATTTCTGAAAATATCAATGCGAGGGATATTTGACATTTTATAAAAGGATCTAAAATGTATACCTACTTAGATAATTTGTAACATTATGTAAAACTGCACTACGTCTCTCCTTTTTGTCTGAGCAGTGCTCCAAGTAGAACTAGACAGATGAGCATCGAGAAAAGATGCCTGCTCCGGCCACTAGGTGACTGTCTTGGACCAAACAACACAGCTGTCGGCGCAGGGAAGGCTGCGCAAGTCGCAGCCCCTAACTGAAGGTCCGGGTAGGGCAGAGTGTCAGTCTGTGCCGGCCCACGAGTATGAGGTGTTTACGAATAATGGCTTCATTTTTCAGGAATAACGCTTTAAAAAAAGAAAACATGCCCAGATATTAATCCAAGTTCTAATTCAGCTTTTAGTACCTTCTTGGTTCACACTGGAATGAGCCCTCACAGTATATATGTGAACAGATTACCCCTTGTGGAGATACAGGGTGTCCTAAATTTTGAACGGACAGAAGTACTGTCGCTAATCCACTGAGACTTCCATCTCTCAGGAAGGGCAAAACTATGCTTAAAAGAGCAAGACATGAGCAAGCCTTGGCTTACCTTTGACACAATATTAAAGTGAACGTATGCCCTTGACATTGGGGGCTTTTTCCCTCTAAATCATTGTATTCCAAGAAGCTACAAGATTTCTGGAAAAAAAAAAAAAAAACTCACCACAAATTTAAAGACA